GGTTGCTGTGAGTCAGGAGTTGGCATCACCTCGATGGCGATGGCGTGGAGTTTTTCGTAAGACGTACACTCTCGTAAACCCACAGGTGTTCTACTCTGTCCCATAGGGCCCCTAGAGGCTGAATTGATTTGATGGCAGTGAATTTGGTTTTGTTTCTTTCACCATACCCTATACAGTGCTGCGCTAGACTTTTGCTCTATTTTTTCTTCCCAAAACAGCACCTGACAGACAGCAATGGAACTAATTCCACTTAGATTAAAAATGAATCCCATTTGGATGCTACCAAGATGAAAACAAGAAATTCATATACAGGACATTCCAAAGCCCATGTGTATCCATGATACCTGCTGCTTCATTCATGACCTTTGACTGATGCTCCCTGCCAACCCGCCCCAAACAACCCACTGCCATCAAGGTGATGCCGACTCATAGTGACGCTAACAGGACAGGGCAGAACTGTGAGTTTCAGAGACTATCACTGCTGACGGGAACACCCAGCCCTGTCTTTCTCCCTGGGAGCGGCTGGAGGTTTACCAATGCTGACCTTGGGGATCGCAACACAATGCACAACCACTGCGCCTCCTCTGCCCCCAAATGGGATTTGTACAGTCTTATGCTAGTAGACTCAGACGGATTTATCTTTGGTATTCTTCACAGACACAACACAGTACTGTACACATTTTGACAGGAGGGAGAGGAGAAAGAAACAAAACGACAACAAGTGGTTGGGGGTGAGGGGGTGGGGAGTTGGGTGAATAAGAGTCAGTGTTTATTGAGCAAATGACTGTAGTTAAGCCATTTACCTTCAATGGGCTTGAGTTTCTCAGCTATAAACTACAGAGTACGAAAGAGTCTGATCATATACTGTGCAGAGATCAATTTATTTGTAAAAAAAAAAAAAAGTGATTTACTGAGCATTTGTTATGTGCCAGCCACTGTTCTAAGCCTCTCACCAATCTTTTCAAGATGCATATGAGTAAGGATTCTTATTAAACTCATTTTATGCTTGAAAAAATGGAGGCAAAATTTACATGTACCCAACATTAACAAAGCTTTTATATAGGGTGCCAAACTTCAACCCAGGCAGACCGATGTGAGAGACCATGCCCTCCACCAATACGCAATTCTGCCTCTGCACAAACTGGGAACCCAAGAAACGCAGCCCAAGCACCATGAAGAATGGTAACATGCAGCTACACAGACACACCGAGTTCTGATACAGATACCACCTCGATGAACCGGAAAACATATGCTAAATGAGACGACCAGGCACGTAGATGAAATATCTAGAATAAGCAAATGCAGGGAGACAAAAGATGATTCATGAGTACTAGCAAAGTGGGGGAGAAAGATGAGGCTTTCTACGCCCGTAAAGAGTTACAGTCTCAGCAAGGCACAGGGGCAGTTCTAGCCTGTCCTAAGTGGAGTTTTTGGTTTTTAATGGTCCCTGGGTGGTACAAATGGGGGGTGGCTAGAATCCATCCCACACTACTACGGAAGAAAAGCCTAGCAATCTGCTTCCATAAAGATAACAGCAAGCAGAGGGGTAGGGGGGAAGAGATGAGTCACTCAGGGTGCAGTGTAGCATTGATGAAACACACAACTTTCCTCTAGTTCTTAAACGCTTCCTCCCCCCCCCCCCACCCCTTCACTATCATGATCCCAATTCTACCTTACAAACCTGGTTAGACCAGAGGATGCACAGCGGTGCAGACAGGAATTGGAAACACAGGGAATCCAGGACAGATGAACCCTTCAGGACCAGTGGTGAGAGTGGCCATACCAGGATGGAAGAGGGAAAGGGGGATAGAAAGGGGAAACTGATTACAAGGATCTACATATAACCTCCTCCCTGGGGGATGGACAACAGAAAAGTGAGTGAAGGGAGATGTCGGGCAGTGTAAGATATGATAAAATAATAATTTATAAATTATCAAGGGTTCATGAGGGAGGAGGGAGCGGGGCGGGGGGAGAGAAAAAAAAGAAAAATGAGGAGCTGATTCCAGGAGCCCAAGCGGAAAGCAAGTGTTTTGAGAATGATGGGGGCAACGAATGTATAAGTGTGCTTTACACAATTGATGTATGTGTGGATTGTGATAAGAGTTGTATGAGACCCAATAAAATGATTTTAAAAGAAAAACAACAGCCAAGCAAATCCTATGGCTCAGTTCTTCTCTGTCACACAGGGTCCCCATGAGTTGGAATCAACTGGAGGGCAACATGTTTTTGTTTTCTTTTTAAGGCTAATGATGTTTAGAACCTTTCTCTATGCTCATTGGTCATTTGAATAGCCTCTGGTGAAAGGTCTGTTCAAACCTTTTGCCTATTTTTTTGATTAGGTTGTATTTTTGTTATTAAGTTACAAAACTTAAAAATATATGTTTTGGCTTTATGGACCCTTGTCAGATATATGGCTCTCCAAAATTTATTTCCAATCTATAAATTGTCTTTTTCACTATTTAAGTAAAGTCTTTTGATGAATTCCACTTCAGTTCTAAATGGTACACTTTATGTAACTGATACAACAAAACTAAACATACAAACACAAACTCACTGCCATTGACTCAATTCCGAATCATAGTGAACTGATATAGGGTTTCTGAAACACTAATTAAAACAAACAAACAAGCCCCAAAACACACTAAATCTTTATAGGAGCAGACAGCCTCAATTTTTCTCACTCAGAGTACCTGGTGGATTTGAACCTCTGACTCAGAGTTAGCCCAACACAACCTACAGCACCACCAAGACTCCTCTATATAATTAAAAAAAAAAAAAAAGCTAGAGAGAGAAGCTGACTGTGGGATCAATCAGACCCTATTGTCCGTCCCACCATCGGTGGGGCCCACTCCCTGCTGATAAGGATAGTGGATTACATCCCTGAAGGAGAGCTCAAAGACCAGGTCAAGCCGACTCAAGGAAGATGGGGGTTAGGCTGCCATCTTGAATCTAGGATCCGCCCATCTTGTCACATGTGTACCCCAGCTCATCCCCTTCTTGTTGTGCATATGCTTATAGGACAGCCCCTACCTGTTACGTATGTGGTTACCTGTAATCAGGGGGGCTTGCATGCCCCCTAAGTATATATAAGCCTTGGTTAGAAATATAGTCCCACCTCCTCCCTCTGCGTGGACCTGGCTGCTGAGATCATGGCTATCCTGGAGGTGAGCATGCTACCATGAAATGTGTCTGCCGCCTTTGTTTCACTCCATCTCCTATTTCTCCTCTTCTCTATGACTTTATTATGATCTTTATATATTCTATCCGTACAATTGCACCTACGGACCCCTCAGTTGTTTGAGGCTGGTTTACTCTGACAGCTCACATCAAAATACACAAGTAAACAGATGCAAAAATCTATACTGAGATGTAATAACTTAAACTATCATAATTAGCAATCGGTGGTAAAACAATGGGTTTTGCAGCAACAGGTTACCCAATCAGGGAAAATTCTAGTTTAGCTTTACAACATTAACTACACTAGCAAATGCCACACTTACTATTACAAGGAGAACTTAACAGTGCCTGAAAAAAATAAGGAACATTAGTCATATAAATGGGCTAGGAAAGGCCTTGCTTGGCAAGACCTCAAGCAGAAATCATAAAAAGACTAATAGATGCAACTAAATAAAAAAGACACACACTAAAAATAGACGAAAATAAAATTAAGCACAACATATAATAAGAGAATTACTAACGAGTGTGTGGCAATCAGGAAGAGAGAAACACTGACGAAAAACTGGGTTAAAAGAATTAGCCGATGAATGCAACACGCCAATACCCAGAGGGGCGGAGCTGATTCCCACGGGTAACCGAGGACGAAAAGTATTCAAGCAAGGTACCCTTTTGGGGTCTACGTTCTTGGTTTAAAAGTTCACACGTATGTACGTAGAAAAAAAATGAAGGCAGATATCCAGTAAACCTTAACGATTTTATAAAATGGGTTTTGAAGTTATCCTGCTTTCTTCGCCTTTCTGTTTCCTTATTGCATGCGATCAGCTTATTCTTAAAAAACAAACAAACAAACAAACCCTAATAAGTCCTGGCCTCCCTAAGTCCCAGATGCTGTGCATTTTAGAAACGCACCCCTCCCCCACGTTGAAAGCGGGTCCCTTGCAAGGGCTCTCCGCGGCGGCGCGCACGTCCACTCTCCCGCAGCTTCGCTCCGCGGCCGCAGCGTGAGGTCAAGCACGGAGCCGCCCTGCGGTTCCGGGCGGCGAGCGCGGGCCGAGCCGGGGGAGGCCCGATCTCCCGCTTCCGGGCGCGGCGCGACCCCAGCG